GGTAGATTTGATCAGTAAAGCAACTAAACTTTGAATTAATCACAGAAAGAACAGCATCTTTATAGTGGAACGTGAAGTTAAAGGGTAATGCTTCATGACTCATATGCATAAAGGAACACGTCGGCGAGATTTGGAGTATATTTGGTTCTCATAGGATTGCCTATATTGAAAACAAAACGTTCACTAAACTTAAGAAATATCTTGTCATAAAAAAATGAAGCATTTTTTACAATGATGTCAATTTCAGGTAATATTTTGTTAAAATCAAAATTATTTATGCTGATTATATTTGCTCCTTCTTAAACCGGGAACATCTTGTTACAAAACTGTGTCAAAGTTTCGTCCTGTCAAATGTTATAACAATTCTGTTAAGTAACAACGACGACACTTAAACGACACCTTTATCACAAAATGCGATTTGTAATTCTAAGAAATTTTTTAAACACCCGTCAAAAAGCCCTAAACCTTTCTGTTATTGATCTCTGTTTAAGTAATGATGCTTTGAACTTAAAAAGCAAATTACAATGCAAAAGGTTACACTATTTCAATCATTGTCAGTTAGTTTTCGACTTATGAGTTTGATTATCCTTTTGGTATCTTTTGCCTCTCTTTTACAAATATATAAACCTTTGCTATTCATGCAAGGACTAAATTAATATAACTGATCTTTGTCATCCAGGAAGTTGGTACCACTCATTAATGTTAACTTCTATACAATGATTTTAAGAGTGATTTATCCTTCTCACATGTTATCATCCAGTTAAGTGGATTTTATTTGTCTTAAATTAGTTGTTAACTTAATAAATCAATATTTCGTTTGATGGAATTAGGTCAATATGATATATAACTTAAAGACATCTCTGTCCAAGATTCACGCATGTAGCTTGTATATCTTCAGTAATGGTTATCTGTTTACAGAATAACCCGTTTAAAAACGAAACTTCATGTATTGGACACATTTTTCTTTTGAACGTTTGGAAAAGTTGTAATTTTTATAGTTTATTTTTGAAACACATAAAAAGCTATAATAATGCAGTCTATTCCATGTCAATTTCCATATGATGAACCAGGGTTAAGTCAAAGAACGTATCGTCCTTTTTCTAAAAAATTTCATCGGAAGATACCAAGAACTTGTTGATAAATATTCCGTATCAACTTCACAAATAATACATAATGGTCTTGAAGTAAAGATTCTAGGTACTGACGTTGTTTATCATCTTAATTATGTGTTATAGTGTTCTTTTATTTGTATTTGTAAATTATTAACCTTTACTGTTTAGTCCATTTTTGGTAATATTCTATTGGCGTGGCTCGGTACTTATGCATCCTGACAATGTGTTGTTGTGCTGTGGTCAGTTTTTGTATTCTTGTCTTTCATTTTTGCTTATGTGCTTTGTCTATATGCCATTTTGTTTTTCTTTGTAGCAATTTTTCTTTGTTTTTATAGTGATTAAGATTACAACACAATATTGACTGCTGCACCCCTAATTTTGACATTTTTTCCTATTATGTCTGTTTGTTTTGTTGACACATTGTTGTCAATATAATCGAATTTTATGCGACTGTCATACAAGTGAGAGGTTTAGCTAGCTATAAAACTAGGTTAAATCCACCATTTTCTACATAAGGAAATGCCTGTACTAAGCCAGGAATATGACAGTTGTTTTCCATTCGTTTGATGTGCTTGAGCTTTTGATTTTGCCATTTGATAAGGGACTTTCCGATTTGAATTTTCCTTGGAGTTTGGTATTTTTGTTATTTTACTTATTTCTAGATTCGGACATTTTATCGACCTTGGTAGATATTACTTAGCCATACTACTCTATGAATTACATGAACTGATTTAAATCATTATTTCAATTTTCAATTAGAAAGTTCATATAAGTTTCCAAAATCTCCAAATTTTTTTTTCATATTATATCTCATACGCTTGTCATTTATTATATGGTTATGATTTTCACAATAAAAGAAGTAAGAGATGATATTTACTCAGCAGTTTTAAATAGTTCAATATGTACATGTGTGTTAGAGCCTTAAAACATCTTAATCATAAACTATAATTTCATAGAAAGGATAATGATACAACTTAACTGTCATCGATTTAAGACATCATACATATAACAGCGTTCCATTAATATATCCTCCAGAACTAGAAATTAAAGAAACAACAGACACGTTTTCCTTTGTTTTTTGTTGTTGAAATAGTTATTTGTTTTATAGTGATTAAGATAAAAACACAATGTTGACTGCTATACCCCAATTTTTGACAATTTCACCTATCCTGTTTGTTTTGTTCACACATTGTTGTCAATATAATGGAATTTTATACGACTGTCAAACAAGTGAGAGGATAAGCTAGCTATAAAACCAGGTTTAATCCACCATTTTATACATAAGGAAATACCTGTACCATGTCAGGAATATAACAGTTGTTTTCCATTCGTTTGATGTGTTTGAGCTTTTGATTTTGCCATTTGATAAAGGACTTTCCGTTTTGAATATCCTTGGAGTTCGGTATTTTTGCTATTTTACTTTCTAATTTGAGTGTGTTCATGTTTTTTATATGTAAGTAGTACAACTGTCTACCGCAAATTTTTCACAATTACTGCTATCTTCTACATCAAATCTTAATTAAGATTCACAATCTGTAATAACATTCAACGGGTCATCGTCGATAATAACAGCTTTAGTAAGAATGAAAGATAAACCCAACTGTTACTCACATTCTCTTTGGTCATATATTAGTCAATAGTGCATGATTTTATATTTGAAATCAAAACAATTTGACAACAGCAACGCTTAACATGAACTGGTTAAGCATATGTTTTGTTTTATCAATCTGAATAAAAATATAATAAATTAAAGTATGAAGACTGACCCAAAAGGTTATCGACAAGTTTGATAAAAGTTTAGTAATCTTGGCGTTCTTATGACATAATTTGTTTTTGAGTTCGTATGTAAATTATCATGCAGATTTGGTTGCCCATTATAACAATGTTTTCACCAAGACGAGACATGGTTCCCAACGTCCCCGCATCCATTTTAGATTATATATCATTGATTTTTAAATCATCTACATTAACATTTTTTTTTCGCAAATGAAAGGAACTTTCCGCTGAATGATTTAAATTTAATGTTACGAGTTTGTCTAAAAAGGGCTAGCATATAATATATATTTGTTTTTATCTTGCCGGCAAAATAAATGTTGAAATGTGGTATCAGTCAAACGGAAATTGCCGTCAGATGGAATACTAACCAACCATTTGGTTTATTTTGTATGCAGATTGAAGACGCTACCAAGGAGGAATCAGCATGTTTAAATGACAAAAACATATTCAGAATACAATGGTTAAAAATAACTAAAGAACTGAATGCACAGCTAAGTTATAAAAATATGCTACTTTTAGGCTGTTTCCGAATCTTTTAAAGTTTATCGGTCTTTGCATCCATACTTGGAGACTGAGATTCTTGAAAATCTGTATTCAAAGACGTTTAATTACCGATTTGCCCATGATTGAAAACATGACTAGATTTATGGTAAATTAAATTATAGAAATATACTTCATATCTGAAGGAAATAAAGTATCAACAATTTAAAGCTCTTGACTTGAGTTTTCTCATTTTGCATATAAACTATTCCAAGCGGCTTATAACGACATTAGAACAGCATTTTGCGGAATTGTAAAAAACAATAATATCTGCTTATATTAGTATTGGTTGCTTTAAAATGAAGTCGTCATTTGATTTCGGATATGACGACCATTAATTTCATCAATCATTTATAAGTGTTACAGACACTAAGTTACAAATCTAATATTTAAAATATAGACTGCAAACTACATGAAAGTAACTGATTCTTTTACAGTGAAAAACACAAGTATCTTCAATCAACTTTTTTGTTGGCGTCTTTATTAAATTGATTCACGCTTGTTTGAAGTTTTTAGTCAGTTGTGTTGTATAGCAGTAATGTATGTTTACACACTATTGGCTGCTGGATCCCAATTATTGTCACAGTCTGTTTGGATTGCTCCCCTTAATCGCCCAGTAGCACGAAAACAAATAAAGAGAAAACTGATAAGAAAATAGAAAGAAACACACCTTCAGCACATAGAATCTATAACTCCATAAAACCATATTGTATTACTTGAGAAGTAGACACTGGACATTTATATATTAGGTCTTGAAACTTTCTAAAAAATGTTTTGAGAAAAAGGACGAGACGTTCTTTGACAAAACTCTGACTCGTTTCATCTCGGCTTCTATGTTTCCTATAGATAACAAAGTTTTGAACCACATGCAAAGCTCTGATTTCTTGTCCAACTTTTGGCGATACTTGTTTGTTCTTTTTGATTTATAAAAAGCTCTTCATTATTTTGATAAGCTTTGGATTTTCAAATATTTCGGCCTCGAGCATAATTGAAAAGACATTTATTGACGAAATGCGCATCTGGTGCAAACAAATTGGTACCTTTCATGTTATTGATGAATAATTGGATTAAAAAAATATATTCTTAATAACAAAGTCACACGTTCCGTGTTTACACAGCTCAAAACTCATTGAGAATGACATACATGAATCTGTTTTGTGATGTAAGCACACTTATTAATAATGAAGAATTGTGATTCAATCCAAATTCGACAAACAGCAGCCTTTTATAAAAAACTCGAAAATAATCTGAATACAAGCTTAAAAATTCCAAATACAAAACCTATCATAATGTCACTACATTCTTTACATGACAAATTCATATTCATGACAAAAATACCAAAAGTAATTTTCTCCTTGCCGACCCGTTCTTATTTTCATAGGAATCGGAGTTTCTAACCGACGACAATTTATCAGAAAATACCTTCTCCAAATCAAAATGAAACAGTTGGGTTTGTCTGTTTTTATAGACTCCACCTTTATAAATGTACCTTGGCGTTTGGGATTTCTTTTATTACAGTTTTGGTTCCTTTATTATCAAATGATATAATGCAGATTAATTCTTTCTTTTCAGGTAAGGTTGAAGGACGGCAATTCTTCATGCAGTATCCAGTTATGTGCGAGATAATCGGAAAAGTGTGTACAGTTTCATGTATTGCGTCTTTGGGATCCATCACATTGCTCAGCTTCAACAGATACATATTAATCTGTCACAACTCACATTACGAGAGAATATTCACTCGTCGGTCGTGTATCATTATGTGCATATCACTGTATATCGTTGGCATGATCATGGTTCTGCTAAATTCAGCTGGAATTGGCGGGCATGGCTTTGATGACAAAAGTTTGGAATGTATTTGGGACAGAATGGCAACATACAGCTACACAGTGGTATTTTCAGTTTGCCTTGTTTGGATTCCCTTGATAGTTGTAGGAATTTCTTACTTAAAATTGTTTTTGTATGTCCGACATAAACGAAAGCAGGTCACAAGTAGAGAAAACGCACCAATCATTGACAATAAATCCCTGCGCCTTGCAAAAACAATATTTATTGTGTATGCAGTATTTTCGATCTGTTGGATACCTTTTGCAATGTTGCTTGTTGCGGATGTGAAAGATACGTTTTCCCACGAAGTGCATCTTTCCATCACAGTTTTTGCACATTTGCATCCGTCAATCAACTGGTTGATTTATTTTTATACAAATAGAAACTTCAAAACAGGATGTCATAAAATATTCAAAATTGGTGGACAAGAATTTTCATCACAGCCTATCGGGCCATTGCCTAAATCTGCACCTGTCATGAGCATTCATATGAAATCAGTTTCATCTGAAGATGGAATTTAAATTTACAACAAATGAACGCATCAAAATTACTTACTTACCAAATTACCATCTTACTTGATGAGCTATTACTTCAGCTGGAATTAACTCCCTTTGTTTAATTGACGACATCCAATTAAGACATTATCATTTTATTTCTATATAAATCAACCTATTATAATTTATTATAACAAATTAATTTCGTGATCTAGTATATGAATTCGTTTCTACAAATTACAGAGCATATTACCAAATACAATCAGTCCCTCGAGTTTCCAAATCCACAATAACGAATGTTATATTAACTTTTGATTTTAGAACACAAAGTCTAAGACCTTATTCGTACTAGTTCAATATACGGATGACAATGGCAATGGCAACTTAAAATTCTAAATCATGTATTTGAGATAACAAATTTATTACGTCAATAATTTAAACAATTTAGAAATAGAAAAAGGAGTTCTAAAATAAGATGGAACCAATTTTTTTTTACACCTAATTCAAATATTTAGATAGGTAATGAATGGGCTTACGATGGACAACATATGTACCTAGTTGTTGTATAGAAAAATATTTCTTTTATAATTTTCCATTTATATGTCGCAACATTCCAGCATGCGACTGCATAAGGAGTATATATCTCCCAGTTAATACGACATTCCAGAGCTTGCATTTTCTTTCACGATTTCTTTGATAGAGGGTTGCTGCTAACAAGGGAGATATTAAACCAGGAGTTCCAACTTGCGAAGTTGAAATCATACCTTCAATAATTTTACGGACGCCATCATGAGTAGGTTGACCGTTATGGAAAATCTATTTCACAGATGACGACGGATATGTTCCAATTGTCATAACCACAATCCCGTCTTCTTTTCCTCAAATGTGTCCTTCCGAATTATACCTATCATCGAGTTTATACTTACACGTGCAACACGAGAGTTGCCACATGTGGAGTCGGATCTGCTTACCCCCCAAGAGCACTTAAAATCACCTCCCAGTTCTTATTTAGGTTCGTGTGCTAACTCTTAAGATTTTTTATGCTGTGTTTAATTTTCTGTTGTTTGTCTTTTCGTCGTATTTCGTTTTCTTGCCATGACATTGTCAGTTGGTTTTCGATTTATGACTTTGAATATCCCTTTGGTATCTTTCGCCTTTCTTTTGTTGTATTTTTTTTTCCGCCTTTTTAATGTATCAAAAAGCTTCCTTTTAATGTTTTTATTTTCATTTGTATTAAGCGAAATTCGAAAATTAGTCAATGATTTACAAACGTTTTTTTTCTAATTACTCATTACTGTTTATTGAATGTTTAAATTTTTCGAAGCACTTTGGTTTTCTACCACAGGCGTAGATAGCCTTTTCTAGATTTTGCTAATTATTTTGAAACTTTTGGTTTTCAATGCATATGAAATTCTTTATTCATTTTGAATAAAAAAATTAATAGAATAAGAGTTGTTTGAATTTTGAAATAACATTAACGGTGCCAAATTTCACTGCATGCGCCAGATGCTCATTTTGACAATTAATACCACTTAATGATGCTCGAGGTCAAAATATTTGAAAATCAAATACTTAATACAAACGTTGAAGAGCTCATAAAATAAAAAAAGAAGAGTTATTAAATCAAATTATAAATGCTATTGGAATCTGATAAACCACTTTTTTAATAGACGAAATGACTAAAACTAGCCTGAGTGTAAAAGGTGTTCAAGAATTCCCCTTTCTCCGAATAAACAATTTCCTATTTACAGATTCCAAAAAATATAGTCACCAAACTTTAAATTATTTAGTGAGAGTACATATATATGTAGATTTAGTTTTGCGTCCTTTGAATATTACAACAAAAAGCCAAAATGCATGTTATTGAAAATCGCTATAGGATTTCCATGTGACTACTACATTATCAATTATCAGTGGTACTTTTAACGGATTTATTCATTTGCCAATAATATATGATTTAAGAGCGACTATGACATTATATGACGACATGGTTTCATTTTCATTTGAGAAAATAGTCAATCATTATTATTGCATGTATGTCTATTTTGTAACATGCGTTTAGTAAACATTGTACACTTACACTAAACAGAAATTACCGGTATTTGTATAAAATTTTGTAAGCCCCGTTTTGTAAACTACAGAGGGCACTGGTTCTTGTAATTGTCATAATGAGGGTAAACCAGCGATTGTAAGAACACCATCAAACTTCCTCCAGTATAACAATCTGAGTGTAAACTATTTCAATTGCAAAACCGATAATGCGCCACTGATGAGTCGAAACGCGCGTCTGGCATACCAAATTATAAGCCTGGTTATTCTTTCTTATCGGAAACTGGTAACGTTAAAACACGTTAATGATCTCATTTCATATTCTATTGTTAATTTTATATTCGAATGTTAAAAAGGCAGCGTTTTAAAAATCTTAAATTAATGGTGAGATAATTATTGCGAAATCCGCAATAATTTACGCAAGAAATATTTTAGAGCTGTCTAAAAAGAATGTTTGTTCCATTGTGTGTTTATATCAAACAAAAATATGTAAATTTTCATGCATTACAAGAAATTCATGAATATATATCCAGAAACTTGACATTTGAAATTCCTATGTTAATTCAAATTAATAGAACATGTTAGACTTATTCTTGTATCGGAATTAGCTTGAATATATACATGTATTTTGATAAGGTCAGTTCACAAGTTTTCAATGAACTAAACTTATTATTTGCGTATGTTAGGGAAATCATGTCTTTCTTAGCTCAATCACTAAAATGCATTGAATTAAGAATTGAATAAAATACTTTTAAATGACATCTTGTAAATGTTAATCTTTAGAATATACTTTCTGAAAGATTTATAGTCCATCAAAAACGGTATTAATAGTATTATATAATCGACAGAACCAACTTTGCAGCGTTTGAAATGTGTATCTGAACTTTCATTTTTTATCTTTATTGTAAAGGAAGTACTTTTTTAGGTAATTTTTTTGTACTTGTTTAGCAGAAAAGTCATTGCACTATTTTCAAAATAAATATCCATAAAGTACAATTTGACACAACAGTAGATTGCCGATGTCACTTATAATTTGTCTTCACAACTAGTACTTGTATTTGAAACTCGTAGTAAAGCTCCAGACCTGTAATGTTTTGTGTACTGTTGTTTGTCTTTTGGTCGTTTTTCGTAAAGGTCATATTGATACCCAAACGTCTTATTGCTCTAAATTCAAAGCGAAAGAAGCATTGTACATAATAAATAAAGGCAACAGTAGTATACCACTGTTCAATAGTCATTAATCGATTAAGCGAAAACAAATACGGGTCACTAACCAAAAGCGAGGATAAACACATCAACTATAAGAGGAAAACAACGGAACAACAGAAATATTGAACTGCAACACGCCAACATACATAGAAACGGACTATTTGATATCAACTGCCATATTCCTGACTTGGTATCGGACATTTTAAGAAAAAACTTGTGGGTTGAACCTTGTTTTATGGCTAGCCAAACCTCCCGCTTATAAAAATACTGCTAAAATGATAACATTACGTGACAGGAATACAGTACAAATAAACGCAAGAACACGCAGAACAGAGAAACACAAAACGGTTTTCTTTCATAAATTTTGACTTGGATGGAGAGTTGTCTCATTGGCACTCATACCACATCTTCTTATATCTAAACACATAAATAAATAATATAATAATACTCTACAACATGTAAACCACAGAATAACAACGGATACCTCCCATGAATCCACGACAGCACAACAGGACACCACGAACGAATTATAAACTGTACGTCATACGAATGTATCAACGCCACAAAAAGTGACGTATTTTTTGTGACGTTCATATTATCAAAATTTTTAAAAATAGAATAAATTTGGTTTATTGTAGACACGTACAAGAATATATTAAGATTGAATTTGTAATGGTGTTATTTTATGTATTTTCTAACCATGACAAGAATATTAAAATGGAACTGAGTTTGCAATGGTGTTATTATTTGTATTTTCTAACCATGTCGGTTTTTCTTCAAAATCAAAACTGTGTATAAACCAAAAAATCCTTTGCATATAGTTGCTTTAAACTAAAAATCATATAAACAAAATAGCGGATTAATTATCTTAACTTTTACATATATATAGAAAATAAAAATGAAATAACTGTAATACAAGACAAGATCACGTAAGACCACACGGTAAACACACTTGAAAACAAACAACATAAAACAAAAACACTGTAGACGAACAACGAGTAACTCGACTATACTGACAAATAAGACATATGTGAAATGTACCGAAAATACAGAATTCAAACCACAAACGATAAGCCATAACACAATATCAAACCAGACTTACAAAGGAAACATCATAACTAAATACATGAATGTTGGATGTATGAATACCGAGACACGTCGTATAGCAATGCGAATTCACACCATCAAATGCATTTGTGTTAAATGCATGCCTAACAGAAATATGGAGATGTGGTTGCCATTCTGACCACTATCGATAAAGAACGCTGGACCGAAAAGTAACAGAGCACTACGTTCAACAATGATGAGCAAAAATCATACCATGAGGCCAGCTATAAAAGCCTCCCCCATTTTCAGCGAATGGAGTAACATCCCAAAAAGAGGCAACTAACGACTCTATTGAAGTAAATAACATTACAAAAGCAATTATTGTAGACAGTTACTTACGATAACCACTGGAATACAGGTTCCTAGTTTGGGAAAGAAATATAACGAATACGGACGGGGTTAAACACTCAATTCTCTATCTTTTATCTTAAATTTACAAGAATTTTAATTTCAAATATACAAAATGAAGTTTCATAACTCCCTTTGTTCTAAGAACTAACTGGAATTATTGATTGATTGTTGCTTGATTATTCTATCAAGACAAAAAGTACATTAATACCAAAGACGAGGGAACGTAAAAAACCTGGATGATGGGCTACCACTGGAAAAAATAGTATGTTGGTAGAGATTGAAATTTGCCTATCAACATATCACCAATCCCTCAAAGAGTTGTTGTAAATATTCTTTATTGGACTGATACTTCTACACTTCATACAGGTGCTTCTCAAAAAAATGAAAAAAGAAACTAGCATTATCCTTTAACTTCACGTTCCTTTATATAGATGGTGTCCTCTCACTAAATAATTCTAAGTTTTGTTACTATGTTGAAGACATCTGTCCCATCGAACATGAAATAAATGATACCACAGATACAATTCTGCCACATATCTTGACTTACCTTTAAAAATTAAGGATCGGTAAGAAACAAAACTTTACGACAAAAGAGATAATTTTAGCTTCCCGAATTGTGACCTTTCCATTTTATGTAAACATTTCTTTAGTGCCTGCATTTGAAGTATGTATCTCCCAGATGATATCATATTCCAAAGTTTGCACATCCTACCATACGTTCCTTGTCTAAATGGTTAAGTTGAAGTAGTCCCTTTGAAAGTTTTACAGACACCATCACGAATTAGTTGACACATTATATATATTTACCAGGAGGCTTTAAGGTTCCTAATGTTAAAGTTGAATTCATCATTTTGAAAATGTTACGGTCATCATCATGACTTGGTTGAGTGTCACAGAATATCTATGTCACAAAAACATTCATGGTTGGATAGTTTTCCGACAGAGGACTGGTTTCCAATTTGAACTCATTGTAAATTTCGTGGTTGTAATTCAGTCGACGATGTAAGCGTCTTCTGCTATTCATGTATCATCGGCCGCTATGCAAATTCGAACTCAATGAAAAAGTCACAATCGGTAAAATCACTGAGCAGGCGACGTATATTATGATCTAAGACTGTGAGATAATGTCACTAGGGAGTTGAGACACAAACGTATTGTATCGGTCAACTAATTCCTAATTGAGTCCGAAAAACTTATGAAGTGTTAATTTCGATGTTACCTCTCAAAAATCTGTTGGAAAAGTTTTTGTGTAAGGATCCCACCTCTGCGTATGAAACAAATGTCACCAACGGATAACGACAAAAATAAATACAGACATTGATGACGTACTAATTCTAAATGATATTAAAGATATATTTCATCTCCTTTATATCCAAAATCCTCCAAACTACCTAGAAGTTCAAGAGAAAGCCGAAACAATAGATTATGCTTTATACCTGAACCTACACATGTCAATAGATACCAAAAGGACATTTCATTAATGTGAACGCGATAACTATAGTTTCTGTCTTTTTTTTAGGGTTAACACATTTACATCAACTGCGCATGGTGTATACATATCATAGTAAATAGTAAAATAACAAAAATACCGAATTCCAAGGAAAATTTAAAACGGTAAGTCCCTTATGAAATGGCTAACTCGAAAGCTCAAACACATCAAACGAATGGAAAACAATTTCCATATTCCTTACTTGGTACAGGCATTTCCTTACGTAGAAAATGGTGCATTAAACCTGGTTTTATAGCTAGCTAAACTTCTCACTTGCATGACAGTCACATAGAATTCCTTTCTCTAGAACTACTGTCCGCAATAATGTTCTTAAAAACGCACAATCATTGTTACATACATTGTTCAATAACGTGGGGTTTGCGTTACCTAGCCTTTTGTTTTCTATGTAGTGTTTTGTGGGATTTCGTTTTTCTTTTTTGTCATGGTGTTGTCAATTTCTCTTCAAATTATGAAATGATTGTCCCTTACGTATTAAATGTTATTTTTAGGTTTAACTGGTATCCTCTAGCAAACCTTAACATGTTTGATTAATACATCCTTTTTTCACCAGTTCAATGTTTTCGCAAACAGCAATATACAATATACAAGTTAAACTTGTGTTTAAAGCACCGAATCAAACGACTATACTGCAACAGATGATACACAGTAAGAATTAAAACAAAGGACCAGATTTACGAAATTACGCTTAGATACAGGTAGATTGCACTGATGCATACATTTTGACTGTCGTACGAAGTATTGCTAAACTAATCACTGCTGATGGTAAAGTGCATAAGACCAATCAATTACACGGCTTTTTGTCAACAGGTCTTTCAATTTGTGTAGAAAGTTAAAGATGAAACAACGAATGCTTCGGAGTATTTGAAATCTTGAGCAGCAACATTGAAACTGTCTAATAAGTATGCAAGAATTTTTAAGATTTGCTAGTTTTAAGGGTGTCGCGTTACGGTGGCAATATATGAAATGCAAACTATTTGTTTATTTGGTGATGAATTGAAAAGTAAAAGAATTTTTTTATTCTATTATAGTACGGAATGTAAAATACTGTGAACACCATGGGCATACTAAAAAAATGTGTTTAATTTTTGAGAATCTGATTTATCATTAAACGAAAGTTGTCTTCATTGAATGAAATTTCTTCATAATCGGCTTATCACTTTGCACCTCTGTACAAACATAAAGATATGTGGTATGTTTGTTAATGAGACAACTATCCACCAGAGTTGAAGTGGATGTAAGCAATTATAAGCCACCGTACAGCATTCAATAATCAGAAAAACCCATACAGTATAGACGGCTATAAAAGACCCCGACATGAAAAATGGGAAACATTTCAAAAGAGAAAATTAACTGCCCAATTTATTAAAAAAAAAACAATTTAAGAAAAACAAATATGACATACACAAACAAACGACAACCACTGAAATACAGGCTCATGAAGAGTACGGTGGGTTTGAGCATGTTTGTGAGCGCTCAACACTCCCTTTACATTGACAGTGGCGTAACAACACAACGTAAGAACAAACTGTAAAACTCAGTAGCAATTTGCTAAAAATCAAAAGATCGGTACGAGGCACAAACACAACTTACATAAAAACAATAGACAGAAAGCACCGAAATAAAGTTATGTAGTAATGCTTTTTTTTAAACACACGTTATGGATAAACACATGGTGTAGCTTGTACATTTTGCGTTTGTGGGTGTAATTTCAGTTTCATTTAGTCAACCTAGCAGAAAACACAGAGACCGTTGGACAAAAAACAATGTCGTTTCCCAAAGGTAACGAATGAAATAAAACAAGAGTTATTTGATTGGTTTGAATATCCAAGAGAAGCGTGAAAATGTTGCGCAAAGATTTTTGTTGTGTAAAATTCAATTTCCACCAGCGTATCTTTAAGTCTAGTTGAACCTTGCTTAGTTGTCAATGCTAAGCTGTAGATATTGTATTTGAAAATGAATAATAGCATTACAGTTAACAGTACCAGTACCGATTATCAATATTTCAGACGATTTGAATTTATTCAGGATTCCCCAGTAGTTGCCATACTTAGTATTATATTTTTAGCAATTGCATCAACTGTTGGAACATTTGGAAATGTTCTTATTTTAATAATTGTATCGAAAACAAAAGAACTAAAACAAGTGCAATCTGTTTTCATTGTCAATTTGGCTATTTCAGACATGTATGTTACTTTGATAGCGGATCCTATGAGTATTGTTGGTAAGTAGCTATTTTATTGAATATTTACAATTATTGACATGTGCGTTATTCTATTATTACTCTATGCTTTTTCAGTGGTTGTACAATGCACATTTTTACAGCTACAGATGATAGTTTTTGCTAAATGAATAAGCCTGTATTTATGTTTGAATGTATCACCACTCTTAGTGGACGACCGTTCAATATTTTAGGGGAAAGTTAAAAAGATAAAACAGTAATAACATTACCTGTACCAATTTTACTGCAGCAGATGCGCATTTCGATAACAAATATCTCGTCAGTTCAAAATATTTCAAAATGCAAAATTTAATAAAGATTGAAGATCTAATAAAACGAAAGAAAAAAAACCCACTAAAAAGTATAACAAAAATACCAAACTCACCGGAAAATTTAGAAAGGGGAAGTCCATAAAAACTGACAAAATTAATCTATAATAACCAACGGAACGAGTGAAAAAAATTGACTAGGTACAGACATTTTCCTAATAAGATGATTGGTTAAACTTGGTTTTATAGCAAGCTTAACCTCCTTCTTGTATGACAACTGTTTATAGTTCCGCTATATTGACAAAATTGGGTGAGGAACCCAAAAAAAGACACAACAGGTAAATGTAACAGTAATTTGGATCACAGACATACAACACAACTGATTAAAAAATTCGAACAAACATACAAATAAATCTAACAAAGACACCAACAAAAAAGTTTTTGTAGTTCATAGAAAATTTGACTAAGACGCCAACAAAAAAGTAGTGTAGTTGATAGTAAATTGAAAAAGAGGCAGATAAATATTTTGTTTGTAGTTGATAGTACATACCGTATATAGTATACACTTTCTCGATAAAGTACGAATTAAGTGAAATATAAATACAAGGGTAAACAAAATGGAAACAACTCTGTAAAAATCTCTTCCGTCCGAATTGCACCTCAGGACCCACCTGCACCATAACAGAAATCCAATAGCGGGATGCATAAATACCTAGTCACGTCAAAAGTCATACGACCAAAAGAAAAATAATAGCACGAAGACAAATAACGAAAAAACTGTTTAGAAAATAAAAAGAAACACAACTTCATCGCATATAATCTATAACTCAAGATCATCTTGTATTAATTGTGAATTAGACACTGAATATTTATCTATTAGATCTTGACTTTCAGATGAACTTTTTGAGAAAAAGGACGAGACGCTCATTTACAAAACCGTGGCTGATTAACTAATTGCTTATTCACCTAATGATATCTTTGATATTTCTGTACTATTCATTAGCTCATACCCTGTGTCGGATATTCTGACATCGAAACCAAATGGATTATTGAAACACGGTGCAGAGGGTACCAATCTTGAACGGATGACATTTTACATAGTCTGAGTAGCAGCTGCAAGCTCTTTAATATCGTAAAATTTATTACAAACAGGATAGCATATCTTAATTTTTATCGATCCTTTAAATAAACTTATTCAGAAAGGTTACCAATTTAACACTGTAATCAGATCTTTGAATATTGTGTTTATAGGTATAAATATTGAAATCAAAACCCAACTAAATATTATTGCTATACATTCACAATCCTACATTATGTCAATACCTATATTTTTGGCATTGCACAAGATCATGTTTTTCTCTGACTGTTAATGCCGTCTTTAAACTAAATCCATTGGATATTAGAGGTGTATTGATTAATATTTCAGTCTTAGATAACTGATATTTTCATTATAAAAATCAGGAGATGTGGTATGACTGAGACAACTATCCACCAAAGTTCAAATGAAGTGGATGTTAGCAATTATAGGCAACAATGAGAAAAACCCATACCGCATGGTCGGGTATAAAAGGCCCCTACATGAAAAATATGTAACAATTCAATTCAGAAATCTAACGACCTAATTTATAACAAAACAGTTTAAGAAAAACAAATATGACAGACATGAACCAACGACAACCACTGAACTACAGGCTCCTGTCTTTAGACAGGCACATAAAGAATGTGGCGGGGTTAAACATGTTTGTGAGCGCTCAACCCTCCTCTAACCTGGGACAGTGGTGTAACAGTACAACATAAGAACAAACTATACAAATCAGTTGAATAAGGCGTAACTCATCAGATGGATACAGATAGAAATACATCTAACAAAAACACAAAGTGGACGTGGACGTGGACGTTGACATTCCCAAAACAAAAAGACACTAAATACAGATCTGAGAGTACTCGCAGTTGCTGAGAGCTAGTTCAAAGCCAATAACAAGTTGTTATTTTCTATTCACTAGCTTCCAGTAAGTACGAACTCAGATTTGTACTTTAGTGTTTTTGTTAGTTAATTTTGTGTTTTGTATCGAACTGATGAGTTAAGCCCTTTTTAAATGATTTTTATAGTTTTTCTGATGTTTTACTGTTAGACCACATTCCAGGTTAGGGAGAAGGTTGAGCGCCCTCTAACATGTTTAATTCACATCACACACTGTATGTGCCTGTCTCAAGTCAGCAGACTTTAATTCAGAGGTAGTCGTTTGTCGCTGTATATCATATTTGTTTTATCTATATTTTTTTTTATTTAAATCAAGCCGTCAGTTTTCTAGTTTGAATTGTTTTACAGTTGTAAATTCAGGGCCTTTTAAAGTATCCAGATGGGTTTTTGCTCACGTGATTTTGTCTCTGGTGGACAGTTGTCTATTTTATCAACCATATCAAGTCTTCTTATCTTTATTATCTATTAAATTCTATGTTAATAAATTTACAAATTAAAATGAAACGTTCAATACCAATGTCGTTGGACTACAGTAAAAAGGCAAAAATCAAAACAAAACAAAAATCAATTTATTTTACTGTATTAAAGAACGCTACAATTTACTTGATACAGGCAACGTTAAAACCTAAAATGGCCTTTTCCCAGTATATCTATACTGGTGGCAATAAAGCTCTTTTCCTCAAGATATGGTTATTTCCCATTATAAAGAGAAAGATGTCTTACGTACAAGGAGACTATTACTTTTTTATTCAAGCATTGCAAACTATGAACGTCTATGTGAAGATGAAAAGGCTATTATTTCACTTTTCTATTGTTAGTAGCTATGTACACGATTAATCAATATAGAAACATCATACCATAATTTTATACAGTAAAGTGTGCGCTTGGAATAAACATACAATTTTATAGTTGTATTGTTTAAACAAACTTACAAGCATCAAGTGCAAACACGTGTCAAAAATCAAGTAAAATGAAGAATTACAGAATAAACACATGTTATATAACAAGCATAATGTAAAACTAGAGATCGTGGGAATCTTAGATGAAGACATAGCTCAGGTAAAATAATCCATTGATGCATGTACTTTCTAGTATAGACTGTTAACAGCTTTAACTGATAAAAACCATAAATTGGTAAACACTACGAATATCACCCAATCCAATGTTAGCCATTGCAAAGGGAATCGGACCTGATTTTAGTATAAGATCCTTTACACATCCTATTTAGGCTTTGAAAAATGAAATCAACTGTATATCTGCTTGAAGTATAATATTTTAACCAATTTATGGTTTTATCAGTTAAAGCTGTTAACAGTCTATACTAGAAAGTACATGAACCAATGGATTATTTTACCTGAGCTATGACTTCATCTAAGATTCCCACGATCTCTAGTTTTACATTATGCTTGTTATATAACATGTGTTTGTTCTGTAATTCTTCATTTTACTTGATTTCAGTGCATATAAATTACATACAAAGGACATATATATTTTTTATGGATTTCACTTAACACGCGACTCTATGAAACAGAGTACTCAAAAGAAAAGTATCTTTTACTTCCCGTCCAAATGTATGAAATAATTTTCGAAAAAATTAGTTCGAAGTTACAATTATGACAAGTGTTTATAGCCAACAATCGAGCTGGCTAAAATTGTAGAACGATTTTCTTAAAATATTGGTGAACCCTCGGGGTGCTTATTTTACCAGCTGATAAAACAGTCTACAGTGTTGTTGTTGTTAGAACTATACACTCCGCTATATGGTATGCACCACTCAATTTAATTTCAATATATTTTTTTCTAAAATAAAATTTTTTATAAAAGAAATACTATTCATAAAAACTGTAAACAATAGGTACCTTTGTGATACTGGTAAAATGTCAATCAATTGCATTTTAATTGTTCAAAATCAATTTTAAAAACCTGTCTTACGTGTTTTTCGCGTTACTGATTTTGACGAAACACAATCGATTTTACCACGTGGACGACTACGGGCTCTAAGACCAATAGGGCGCCCAGAGTAAGATTACAGTAGGCTGGGATCCACCGCCGTTGGTTTTTACGCAACTAGAAAAGTAGAAAAGAATTCAATGGTCTGATAAAAGTAATTTCTTGCTGAAGCCCGTCGACGACAGAACACGGGTTTGGAACAAAAGAAACATCCCATATAGGACATATAGGGACAATAACATTCTTGGTACAACAGCTTTAGGAGGCGCCGATGTAACAGTATTGGGATGTTTTTCCAATTACTGTAAGCTTGATATGCATGTTATTGACGGTATCTGAAATAACCAAGATACCGGGATGACATACTGAGCACAATAGTATCGCACAATAATCATGCGTTATCTGATAGACCAGTCTTTCAAAATGACAATGCGAGACCTCTTCGCGCACGAATTGGCAACGCACACCTGAAGTCGGAATCAAAGACATTTTACCTGGGCCGTCCATGGCAGCAGATATGAACATGTATGGGAGTTTATCGGCCGTCAACTTTAGCAGAGACAAACAAAATGTGCATCAATACCACAATTGAGGGTTGCTTTGGTATGTGAATGGCAGAAATGTCCACAGTATAAGCTACGACGACTGGTGTAATGAATGAGGAGACGTGTATTAAATCTCTACCGGAAGAGCGGAATCTATACACGATATTGACATAAGTAACATTAATTAACAGTTAATGTATACTTGATTTTTTTCCGAAAAGTTGAAAATTGTATCATTATTTGAAATTAGAGAAAATGATGAACATAATAAAACTTTTTACTGTGATGTTAACTTGTTGTTTTTAACGTAAAAAAAATTGAAAGTTCCCTTTACAAAGCAGAAACCATATAATAACCCTATTATTTCATTTTGTTTATATTGCACAAAATTTACATTTTATTCAAATAATGTCAAAACAATTGACTCTTATTAAAAAATATTTAATTTTTTGGATTTGAAAATTTCCAATTATCAAAAATATTGGTGGTGCTTAACTTATGGCAGAGTGTAAATATCGCGATTCTAAAAACATAAATTACAATTTCTATTACGTTCATTCCTACTACTTCTATAAAATAAAAAAAAATCTAGATTATAATGTTTTCAACAAAGATTAAAATGAAAACCTACTCTGCTCTCTTGTATTAATACATTTTCAAAAATCATTGTCATCGTCATGATACAGAACCTTCATACTGTCTTAATTTCCTTTAATAGTAACCGTTGGGTAAAGAAAAACTCTGCATAAAACTTAAGTCACTACTCCTTTTGAATTAGAATAAAGCAATAATTCATGCAAATCATACATTTATTGGAAATTTTCACATGGCCTGGGCCATTATATTCGAAATTTATTCCGAGCGTTAGCGAATATAACGGCCCAGGCCATGTAAAGTTGATAACACAGCTATGTACTGCATGAATCATTTCGATTTTAATAGTACCAATATGGTTATTCAAAAAACGGAAGCGAGGATAAGAGTGCCGTGTGTGTGGCTGTTCTATTGTACCCCCTGTAAGATAAAGATTAAATTACTCTAGAAAAATGTGTTTATACCTCATAATTCTCAGCCTAACATTTTTTTTCGTTGTTTACTATTTACTGTCAAATCCACTGATGACATGTCGTAACTATAATGAGTGAGCCGCCATGTTGACTTGCTGAAATCAATAAATGTGCAAATAATGCAATAGAATATAAAAAAAAACGGCTACCTCAAAACTCAATTCTAATGCGATATTATCCGAATTTGCAGCGTATATATAACAGAATAACCTTCAGCTTGAGACTTTTCATTTGTAAGACGTCACGTTTTGACATGGCGTCTATGCGCCAGATTATTAATGGAATTTTATCTAACATATACTCCAACAACACTTAGTAAAGAGGAACTCCTGACAATCATAATTAAGTCAACAGTAGATTACCGATCAAAAGGAAACAAAAAAGGTTACCAAAGACTGTGTAAGTCGTTAGGGTATGCATCTCCTGCAATGTATGCACAACCCACCATGATCCACATTGAGTAATAAATATTCATTGCTTTGTTTAATGTTCCATTTAAATTTCATTTAGAGATAAAGACCTCTACTGGATAACCCTATATAAAAAGTCTCCATATAAACAGCAATATATCATTTGGTCTGCAAAATGCTCAGTGAAATATTGTTTAAACTACATAAAATCAATATTAACAGTTTTACGCCTGCATACATTTCGTTAAAGCATTAGTATTACACATTTGTTATCAATATCGTTAAAAGAGCACACAATTTTAGAAAGTATCCTGTTTTTGCGTATATTGCAATACGCATACCAATGCATGATACTTTTGCTGTTCAATCACCATGTCTGGCATTGTTTGGATTAACATTAATTTGCTGACTAACAGATTCGAACTAATCTAGTATGTTTTTTTCTAAAACGATCTACACCGTTTCTGTACAAATTTATAAGGCATTACGACAATATCTTTTTTTTTTATATTATTATACGGCAACATTTGACGTTGCTATTAGAAATGTATTCAGAAGTACATCTGTAGATATTTATAGTGTTGAATGATGATTTCGCATCAGCGGGCATACTTATTTGATATAGATATAAGGAAATATTGTAGAATTTCAAACGAGACAATTATCCACCAGTGACCAAAATGATGACAATGTTAAAATCAGATGGATACCATAATAGTCGTCTGATCTGTAATTTTACCAATGGCGTCCTACTTCCGATTTTGAAATATTAACTGAATGTGGATTGGAAAGGCTGGTGATGCATACATTGCAGGAGACGCTGTCCCTGTTGACGCACCTGGTCTCGCACCTTTTGGACTTCGATTGTTATAATGATTTGTATCTTCTATTTTTTCGATTTATGAGATTTGAACATCAGCAAACTACTGTAGCCTTAATCCAAGTATTTTTTTTATTTGATAAAGAATACCCTTTTTACATATTTTCGAAACACATACGTGTACACGTTTCTTATTTCTCATACATGGGAATTCATTGAAAATCACATACATAAATCTGTTTCATTATTGTTTTGCCTAATCAGCGGAAGTACAATAAATTATAGGAGTTTTGGGTCTTCAATGGTCTTCAATTTCGTACTCTATTTAATCTTTTGAACTTCTTTTGATTTCAGCGTCACCGATGAGTCTTTTGTAGACGAACCACACGTCTGGCGTACAAAATGTTAAGCCTACTATCTAGAATGAGTTTTTTTGCAACTAGATATGCAATTTAATTGTAACGAAGCGGCTGCAAGGAGAAAACAAGTTTGCTTTAAAAAATTGAAAATACAATTATTTAGAAAAACTGAAGGCAAATAGTTCATTTTGAAAACGCTGCTATAATTAAGTCTTTCCACTTTTCCGTGGAAAAAACGTTTGATATTGTTCTAAGAATAATTTTTTCCCCTCCCTTTTGTTTCTGAAACGTAGCTTTTCAACATTCCTACAACATTCAGTAGAAAAATTAGGACTGAGCAACACAAACCTAACAAATATACCAAACACGGAGGTTGAAGGGTAAGAAATAAAAATCGATTAAGCGAAAACAAATCCGGGTCACAAACCAAAACCGAGGGAAACACATCAACTATAAGAGGAAAACAACGGAACAACAGAAGCACTGAACATCAACAAAAGTTAGTGGTGTTTCTCATTACCAGTAATCATTTGGTAACGTCACAATCAAGTAAAAGTTAGAAACAAATACACAAGGGTTATCATAAACAATACAATACAAAACAATAAACATTGAACAATTATTAATGAAAGTTGCAATAATCTGAATTCAATACATTCCAGATTAATTATTTCTTTTCAGGTAAAGTGGAAGGCCGAACATTCTTTTTGCAGTACCCAATTCTGTGCGAGATCATTGGAAAAATGTGTACCATTTCATGTGTTTCGTCTTTGGGGTCCATTTCATTTCTGAGTTTAAACAGATACATATTAATTTGTCACAACTCATATTACGAGAAAATATTTACTTGGAGATCATGCATCATGATGTGTCTATCGATGTATGTCGTTGGAGTGATCATGGTTCTAATAAATTCAGCTGGCATTGGCGAACATAGCTTTGATGACAAAAGTTTGGAATGTATTTGGGACAGAATGGCAACATACAGTTACACTGTGGTATTTTCAGTTTGTCTTGTTTGGATTCCCTTGATAGTTGTAGGAATGTCTTACTTACGATTGTTCTTTTATGTCCGAAATAAACGAAAACAAGTCGTAAGTAGAGAAAACGGACCAAACATTGACAATAAATCCCTTCGTCTAGCTAAGACAATATTTATTGCATATGCAATGTTTTCAACCTGTTGGATGCCGTTTGCAATGTTGCTTGTGGCTGATGCAGATGACACGTTTCCGCACGAAGTACATCTCTTTATCACAGTTTTTGCTCATCTGCACCCATCAATCAATTGGTTAATATATTACTATACAAATGGAAACTTTAAAGCAGGATTTCATAAAATATTCAGAATTTGTAGTCGAAGATATAAAGCACAGCGTGATGGGCAAGTTTCGCAATCAGGGACTACCACGACGAGAGTTATTAATATCAAATCCGTCCCATCTGAAAATTGAATTATACATAATACCTGTGAACACTTCAAAATCATTAACAATACCAAAGTAGTGCTTTACTCAATTGTATTTCTCTGGGTTTTTTTTTATTAACTCGCCTTTTTTAATTTGACGACAGCCCATTTACACTCTACAATTTTGTCATACATAATGGCATTTTTTTAAAAAATTTTACTTTTATAACAGATGTAGTTCATGATGCTGAACTAAGACTCCTCTCTACGAATTCAAAAGATCAGGGTCACCAGTCCTTGAATTTCCAAATCCACAGTACTGAATTCTATATTTGCCTTTCTTAATTTTAAAATACAGAGTTCTGGTTTTTCTTTGTGATAAAGAATTTAAGGATACAAATTCAAATTCCGTATATACTAGTTTGAAGTACATATAAAAAAAATTCTGATCGTTATCATGAAATTAAATTTAAGATGACAAACTATAGAGAACGGGTAAGGATGAAAGTCTTAAATTTGAAAATAAAAAAAAGAAAGTTTTTATTCCTAGTTTACAGTACTAAGGTACGAATCTGGGAAAGTCTACGTAGACGCCTAATTGTATAAATGTTTTTTGTCTTAAAAAGTATATTTCCTGCTGTAACGTATCAGAAATTTTATTTTTCTAATATTTATAATTTTAATGATAGCAAGTTTCAAAAGTTACTGTCAAATCTTTTTAGAACTGATAAATTCATTGGAGAATATTTATGAATGTATATGAAACCGGGTATAAATAGGCAAACGTTGATAAGAACCAATCGACTGAATATAGGGTTTTAAGTTAAAGATCTCAGATGACAATAAACTATAAAAACGCATAAATACCCTACATTACACAATCAGCTTCAGTTGCATACCATTTGATTGAAAGTAAAAGAGGTAAATATCATATAGCTTGTTTTATACTTAAACTTAGAAGAAAAACAAAACGAAACAATGAGTGCGATATAAAAAGTTTATTTGTTGTGCCGAAATTTCTGTCTTTCAATACGATATTATTTCATCTTATTTGTTTATAATTACATTTTTTAATCAATATTGATGCACAAATCTTAAGATATTTAAACTGTGTGTTTCTTTAATATTTTAGCTTCATATATATTGCACCAATTATTTAGATATTTTCACATTTACTGATTGTCCTTGAATGAATTTTATGACTACGCCAAGATTGTTGAAAACATATTGTATAACCATTTTTAAATATTGTTAGTGGTATGTTGTAAATAAAAACGAACTACGCATTTCAATTCTTAACTATACATAAAGCACTCTGTTTTACAAACAAACTGTTTTATTAAGGATGTTCGCTACTCTGTTTTAAAATAACAAGCTTTTTAAAAGACTGTTCTAAATTTATAGTATATAAATAAAGGAACCCAAAAAGCAGAAAACAATGAAGGGTCCGTGTGCTTGTTTTTGAGATATAAGCCATTGAAAATTTGGCGGGAAATGATTCTCTCTAGATTTTTCATACTTTTAACATTGTCCGCTTTTCTCTTTTAAAAACTATGAAAAAATAACAAGGATTTTATAAGATTTTCAAATATGGCTTTTAAAACTATATGAAATAAAATTATGAAAAGAAAAGTAGGGGTTAGTGGTCAAAATTATTTAATGGCAAAACATGGATAAAACCAGAGGATTCCGAAAATCTGGCAAAATTTTAAAAACCAGAGGAGCGAACATCCTTAAAAAAAGTGTTCATTAGTTATTCGATCAACATCTAATACACTTGTCAAATAGGATAGAGAAAATTTCCATGTTTTTTGGTCCTTTGTATAGTACAGATACCATCGTTCATATATGCATGCTATCCACAAGATATTTCGTTCGGTCAAACGATAAACAAGTTACGTGATTGCTATTAAGTTTGAACACAAAGATTCCATGGAGTTAAATTATTACTTTTTAGCAGGTCACGCCGAAATTACTCATGTCACGTTCTAGCTTGTGTGTCATTTGATAATAAATCGTTACGCGTGTAACTATTGAAAAAAAACATGAAAATGTTAAGGCAAATTATTAACATATTTAGAAAAAGTAGTATTACATTTCTACGGCTTTATGTTCGCCTTTCGTGTATCCAAGGCAGTTGAAGGAAGTCAATTTTGGAGCACTGTGATTGTATGTAAGAGTATACTGTTTTTTTTATTTATTTATGAACAACTGCAGTGTGTATACTTACAATATAAATTTTGAAACACAGGAAAATTTTCTTGAGAATTCTAGGAATCCAATATCAATTTCCAAAACAGAATAATAAGTTTTTAAATATAACATAACTGTTTTGTCCACGTTTTTATTATAAAAAGTGGTAAATTAAGAAAATATTAGTATTGTCGCCTATGTAGGAAAAAATACTACATTTTTTTCTCTCAAAATACAATATATGGAGAGTTAACCAAATCTAATAGAATGCACTTGGAAAAATTTATTTTAAGATATTTTGAAGAAACATTTAATTGTCGAAATGCGAACCTGATACAGTAAAACTTGTACCGGTAATATTATGACTATCAACTGGTCGATATATCTCCCGTATGGATCCCTTCCCGAAATGAGATTAGGATATTTAAAAATTTCATTTTAACATTAAGGTTAATTCCGGATACTGATTTTAGATAGGAGAATTACAAATGTATTATCTACTAATTAAATGACATGATAACGAGTACTTATCTTATTCAAACTACAAGATGTTCAACAGTTTAACATGTATATACATATAATATTTGTACATAAATAAAAGCGAAAGCCTTGGTTTTTTCCTATTTTAGGAAATCAAATGCTAAAGGACTTTGAATACAAAATGTATATGACCTATTCGTGAAATATTGATTTAACTGTGTTTTTATTTAGTATATACAACAAATTAGTTTTAAAGAAAACAACTGCAACACATATGAACAAATATTTGAAAATTAAAAAATACAAAACAAAATCGTTTGTTAGGTAAACCTTTTATGCCATGGCGTTGTCAGTTCTCGTCGACTTATGAGTTTTGAATGTCCCCTTGGTATAATCCGCCTCTTTTTCTTAATAAATACGCAATTTCATTTACAACATCACTAGTATGTTAGCAAACATGTACAATGTTAATTTTACAGGAAGGTTATAGATTATCATATATCTGTCACATATCTTGATTCATATAATATAGGGTTTGTTAACCTTTCATCAAATATTTGTTCATCTTATCTTAATTCATCATCTATTGTTAATTAAGAATCCTAATACTGACCACAAAGTTTACGTATGATCTTGACTATTAGAGAAACGATCACAACATCGTCACGCTCCACAACAAAGAAAGCATCAACACGTTTGACTTTAATGAACCAGGGGGGAAGGTTGAGTGCCTTCTAACATGTTTAATTCACATCACACACTGTATGTGCCTGTCTCAAGTCAGCAGACTTTAATTCAGTGGTAGTCGTTTGTCGCTGTATATCATATTTGTTTTATCTATATTTTTTTTATTCAAATCAAGCCGTCAGTTTTCTAGTTTGAATTGTTTTACAGTTGTAAATTCGGGGCCTTTTAAAGTATCCAGATGGATTTTTGCTCACGTGATTTTGTCTCTGGTGGACAGTTGTCTCATTATCAACCATATCAAGTCTTCTTATCTTTATTATCTATTAAATTCTATGTTAATAAATTTACAAATTAAAATGAAACGTCCAATACCAATGTCGTTGGACTACAGTTAAAAGGCAAAAATCAAAACAAAACAAAAATCAATTTATTTTACTGTATTAAAGAATGCTACCATTTACTTGATACAGGCAACGTTAAAACCTAAAATGGCCTTTTCCCAGTATATCTATACTGGTGGCAATAAAGCTCTTTTCCTCAAGATATGGTTATTTCCCATTATAAAGAGAAAGATGTCTTACGTTCAAGGAGACTATTACTTTTTTATTCAAGCATTGCAAACTATGAACGTCTATGTGAAGATGAAAAGGCTATTATTTCACTTTTCTATTGTTAGTAGCTATGTACACGATTAATCAATATAGAAACATGATACCATAATTTTATACAGTAAAGTGTGCGCTTGGAATAAACATACAATTTTATAGTTGCATTTTTTAAACAAACTTACAAGCATCAAGTGCAAACACGTGTCAAAAATCAAGTAAAATGAAGAATTACAGAACAAACACATGTTATATAACAAGCATAATGTAAAACTAGAGATCGTGGGAATCTTAGATGACGTCATAGCTCAGGTAAAATAATCCATTGATGCATGTACTTTCTAGTATAGACTGTTAACAGCTTTAACTGATAAAAACTATAAATTGGTAAACACTACGAATATCACCCAATCCAATGTTAGTCATTGCAAAGGGAATCGGACCTGATTTTAGTATGAGATCCTTTACACATCCTATTTAGGCTTTGGATTATGAAATCAGCTGTATATCTGCTTGAAGTATAATATTCTAAACAATTTATGGTTTTTATCAGTTAAAGCTGTTAACAGTCTATACTAGAAAGTACATGCATCAATGGATTATTTTACCTGAGCTATGACGTCATCTAAGATTCCCACGATCTCTAGTTTTACATTATGCTTGTTATATAACATGTGTTTGTTCTATAATTCTTCATTTTACTTGATTTCGGTTCATATAAATTACATACAAAGGACATATATATTTTTTATGGAATTCACTTAACACGCGACTCTATGAAACAGAGTACTCAAAAGAAAAGTATGTTTTACTTCCCGTCCAAATGTATGAAATAATTTTCGAAAAAAATGAGTTCGAAGTTACAATTATGACAAGTGTTTATAGCCAACAATCGAGCTGGCTAAAATTGTAGAACGATTTTCTTAAAATATTTGTGAACCCTCGGGATGCTTATTTTACCAGCTGATAAAACAGTCTACAGTGTTGTTGTTGTTTGAACTATACACTCCGCTATATGGTATGCACCACTCAATTTAATTTCAATATATTTTTTTCTAAAATGAAATTTTTTATAAAAGAAATACTATTCATTAAAACTGTAAACAAAAGGTACCTTTGTGATACTGGTAAAATGTCAATCAATTGCATTTTAATTGTTCAAAATCAATTTTAAAAACCTGTCTTGCGTGTTTTTCGCGTTACTGATTTTGACGAAACACAATCGATTTTACCACGTGGACGACTACGGGCTCTAAGACCAATAAGGCGCCCAGAGTAAGATTACAGTAGGCTAGGAACCACCGCCGTTGGTTTTTACGCAACTAGAAAAGTAGAAAAGAATTCAATGGTCCGATGAAAGTAATTTCTTGCTGAAGCCCGTCGACGACAGAACACGGGTTCGGATCGAAAGAAACATCCCATATAGGGACAATAACATTCTTGGTACAACAGCTTTAGGTGGCGCCGGTGTAAAAGTATTGGGATGTTTTTCCAATTACTGTAAGCTTGATATGCATGTTATTGACGGTATCTGAAATAACCAAGATACCGGGATGACATACTGAACACAATAGTATCGCACAATAATCATGCGTTAGCTGATTGACCAGTCTTTCAAAATGACAATACGAGACCTCTTCGCGCACGAATTGGCAACGCACACCTGAAGTCGGAATCAAAGACATTTTACCTGGGCCGTCCATGGCAGCAGATATGAACATGTATGGGAGTTTATCGGCCGTCAAATTTACCAGAGACAAACAAAATGTGCATCAATACCACAATTGAGGGTTGCTTTGGTATGTGAATGGCAGAAATGTCCACAGTATAAGCTACGACGACTGGTGTAATGAATGAGGAGACGTGTATTAAATCTCTACCGGAAGAGCGGAATCTATACACGATATTGACATAAGTAAATTAATTAACAGTTAAAGTATACTTTTTTTTTTTCCGAAAAGTTGAAAATTGTATCATTATTTGAAATTAGAGAAAATGATGAACATAATAAAACTTTTTACTGTGATGTTAACTTGTTGTTTTTAACGTAAAAAAAATTGAAAGTTCCCTTTACAAAGCAGAAACCATATAATAACCCTATTTTTTCATTTTGTTTATATTGCACAAAATTTACATTTTATTCAACTAATGTCAAAACAATTGACTCTTATTAAAAAATATTTAATTTTTGGATTTGAAAATTTCCAATTATCAAAAATATTGGTGGTGCTTAACTTATGGCAAAGTGTAAATATCGCGATTCTAAAAACATAAATTACAATTTCTATTACGTTCATTCCTACTACTTCTATAAAATAAAAAAAAATATAGATTATAATGTTTTCAACAAAGATTAAAATGAAAACCTTATCTGCTCTCTTGTATTGATACATTTTCAAAAGTCATTGTCATCGTCATGATACAGAACCTTTATACTGTCTTAATTTCCTTTTAATAGTATTCGTTGGGTAAAGAAAAACTCTGCATAAAACTTAAGTCAGTACTCCTTTTGAATTAGAATTAAGCAATAATTCATGCAAATCATACATTTATTGGAAATTTTCACATGGCCTGGGCCATTATATTCGAAATTAATTCCGAGCGTTAGCGAATATAACGGGCCAGGCCATGTAAAGTTGATAACACAGCTATGGACTGCATGAATCATTTCGATTTTAATAGTACCAATATGGTTATTCAAAAAACGGAAGCGAGGACAAGAGTAAAGTGTGTGTGGCTGTTCTGTTGTACCCCCTGTAAGATAAAGATTAAATTACTCTAGAAAAATGTGTTTATACCTCATATTTCTCAGCCTAACATTTTTTTCGTTGTCTACTATTTACTGTCAAATCCACTGATGACATGTCGTAACTATAATGAGTGAGCCGCCATGTTGACTTGCTGAAATCAATAAATGTGCAAATAATGCAATAGAATAAAAAAAAAACGGCTATCTCAAAACTCAATTCAAATGCGATATTATCCGAATTTGCAGCGTACATATAACAGAATAACCTTCAGCTTGAGACTTTTCATTTGTAAGACGTCACGTTTTGACATGGCGTCTATGCGCCAGATTATTAATGGAATTTTATCTAACATATACTCCAACAACACTTAGTAAAGAGGAACTCCTGACAATCATAATTAAGTCAACAGTAGATTACCGATCAAAAGGAACAAAAAAGGTTACCAAAGACTGTGTAAGTCGTTAGGGTATGCATCTCCTGCAATGTATGCACAACCCACCATGATCCACATTGAGTAATAAATATTCATTGCTTTGTTTAATGTTCCATTTAAATTTCATTTAGAGATAAAGACCTCTACTGGATAACCCTATATAAAAAGTCTCCATATAAACAGCAATATATCATTTGGTCTGCAAAATGCTCAGTGAAATATTGTTTAAACTACATAAAATCAATATAAACAGTTTTACGCCTGCATACATTTCGTTAAAGCATTAGTATTACACATTTGTTATCAATATCGTTAAAAGAGCACACAATTTTAGAAAATATCCTGTTTTTGCGTATATTGCAATACGCATACCAATGCATGATACTTTTGCTGTTCAATCACCATGTCTGGCATTGTTTGGATTAACATCAATTTGCTGACTAACAGATTCGAACTAATCTAATATGTTTTTTTTTTAAAACGATCTACACCGTTTCTGTACAAATTTATAAGGCATTACGACAATATCTTTTTTTTTATATTATTATACGGCAACATTGACTACGTAGCACATTTGATGTTGCTATTAGAAATGTATTCAGAAGTACATCTGTAGATATTTATAGTGTTGAATGATGATTTCGCATCAGCGGGCATACTTATTTGATATAGATATAAGGAAATATTGTAGAATTTCAAACGAGACAATTATCCACCAGTGACCAAAATGATGACAATGTTAAAATCAGATGGATACCATAATAGTCGTCTGATCTGTAATTTTATCGATGGCGTCCTACTTCCGATTTTGAAATATTAACTGAATGTTGATTTGAAAGTCTGGTGATGCATACATTGCAGGAGACGCTGTACCTGTTGACACCACCTGGTCTCGCACCTTTTGGACTTCGATTGTTATATTGATTTGTATCTTCTATTTTGTAGATTTATGAGATTTGAACATCAGCAAACTACTGTAGCCTTAATCCAAGTATTTTTTTTATTTGATTAAGAATACCCTTTATATATATTTTCGAAACACATACGTGTACACGTTCCTTACTTCTCATACATGGGAATTCATTGAAAATCACATACATAAATCTGTTTCATTATTGTTTTGCCTAATCAACGGAAGTACAATAATTTAAAGGAGTTTTGGGTCTTCAATGCTCTTCAATTTCGTACTCTATTTAATCTTTTGAACCTTTTTTGATTTGAGCGTCACCGATGAGTCTTTTGTAGACGAACCTCACGTCTGGCGTACAAAATGTTAAGCCTACTATCTATAATGAGTTTTTTTGCAACTAGATATGCAATTTAATTGTAACGAAGCTGCTGCAATTAGTAAACAAGTTTGCTTTAAAAAATTGAAAATACAATTATTTAGAAAAACTGAAGGCAAATAGCTCATTTTGAAAACGCTGCTATAATTAAGTCTTTCCACTTTTCCGTGGAAAGAACGTTTGATATTGTTCTAAGAATAATTTTTCCCCCTACCTTTTTTTCCTGAAGCGTAGCTTTTCAACATTCCTACAACATTCAGTAGAAAAATTAGGACTGAGCAACACAAACCTAACAAATATACCAAACACGGAGGTTGAAGGGTAAGAAATAAAAATCGATTAAGCGAAAACAAATCCGGGTCACAAACCAAAACCGAGGGAAACACATCAACTATAAGAGGAAAACAACGGAACAACAGAAGCACTGAACATCAACAAAAGATAGTGGTGTTTCTTATTGCCAGTAATCATTTGGTAACCTCACAATCAAGTAAAAGTTAGGAACAAATACACAAGGGCTATCATAAACAATACAATACAAAACAATAAACATTGAACAATTATTAATGAAAGTTACAATAATCTGAATTCAATACATTCCAGATTAATTATTTCTTTTCAGGTAAAGTGGAAGGCCGAACATTCTTTCTGCAGTACCCAATTCTATGCGAGATCATTGGAAAAATGTGTATCATTTCATGTATATCGTCTTTGGGGTCCATTTCATTTCTGAGTTTAAACAGATACATATTAATTTGTCACAACTCATATTACGAGAAAATATTTACTTGGAGATCATGCATCATGATGTGTCTATCGATGTATGTCGTTGGAGTGATCATGGTTCTACTAAATTCAGCTGGCATTGGCGAACATAGCTTTGATGACAAAAGTTTGGAATGTATTTGGGACAGAATGGCAACATACAGTTACACTGTGGTATTTTCAGTTTGTCTTGTTTGGATTCCCTTGATAGTTGTAGGAATGTCTTACTTACGATTGTTCTTTTATGTCCGAAATAAACGAAAACAAGTCGTAAGTAGAGAAAACGGACCAAACATTGACAATAAATCCCTTCGTCTAGCTAAGACAATATTTATTGCATATGCAATGTTTTCAACCTGTTGGATGCCGTTTGCAATGTTGCTTGTGGCTGATGCAGATGACACGTTTCCGCACGAAGTACATCTCTTTATCACAGTTTTTGCTCATCTGCACCCATCAATCAATTGGTTGATATATTACTATACAAATGGAAACTTTAAAGCAGGATTTCATAAAATATTCAGAATTTGCAGTCGAAGATATAAAGCACAGCGTGATGGGCAAGTTTCGCAATCAGGGACTACCACGACGAGAGTTATTAATATCAAATCCGTCCCATCTGAAGATTGGATTATACATAATACCTGTGAACACTTCAAAATCATTAACAATACCAAAGTAGTGCTTTACTCAATTGTATTTCTCTGGTTTTGTTTTTATTAACTCGCCTTTTTTAATTTGACGACAGCCCATTTACACTCTACAATTTTGTCATACATAATGGCATTTTTTTTGTAAATTTTTACTTTTATAACAGATGTAGTTCATGATCCTGAACTAAGATTCCTCTCTACGAATTCAAAAGATCAGGGTCACCAGTCCTTGAATTTCCAAATCCACAGTACTGAATTCTTTATTCGCCTTTCTTAATTTTAAAATACAGAGTTCTGGTTTTTCATTGTGATAAAAAATTTGAGAATACAATCTTAGATGACAAACTATAGAGAACGGGTAAGGTTGAAAGTTTTAAATTTGAAAATAAAAAAAGAAAGTTTTTATTCCTAGTTTACATTACTAAGGTACGAATCTGGGAAAGTCTACGTAGACGCCTAATTGTATAAATGTTTTTTTTCTAAAAAAGTATATTTCCTGCTGTAATGTATCAGAAATTTTATTTTTCTAATATTTATAATTTTAGTGATAGCAAGTTTCAAAAGTTACTGTCAAATCTTTTTAGAACTGATAAATTCATTGGAGAATATTTAAGAATGTATATGAAACCGGGTATAAATAGGCAAACGTTGATAAGAACCAATCGACTGAATATAGGATTTTTAGTTAAAGATCTCAGATGACAATTAACTATAAAAACGCATAAATACCCTACATTACACAATCAGCTTCAGTTGCTTACCATTTGATTGTAAGTAAAAGAGGTAAATATCATATAGCTTGTTTTATACTTAAACTTAGAAGAAAAACAAAACGAAACAATGAGTGCGATATAAAAAGTTTATTTGTTGTGCCGAAATTTCTGTCTTTCAATACGATATTATTTCATCTTATTTGTTTATAATTACATTTTTTAATCAATATTGATGCACAAATCTTAAGATATTTAAACTGTGTGTTTCAACGCCAAGATTGTTGAAAACATATTGTATAACCATTTTTAAATATTGTTAGTGGTATGTTGTAAATAAAAATGAACTACGCATTTCAATGCTTAACCTATACATAAAGCACTCTGTTTAAACTGTTTTATTAAAACATGTGTTCATTAGTTATTCGATCAACATCTAATACACTTGTCAAATAGGATAGAGAAAATATCCATGTTTTTTGGTCCTTTGTATAGTACATATACCATCGTTCATGCTGTCCACAAGATATTTCGTTCGGTCAAACGATAAACAAGTTACGTGATTGCTATTAAGTTTGAACACTAAGATTCCATGGAGTTAAAATATTACTTTTTACCAGGTCACGCCGAAATTACTTATGTCACGTTCTAGCTTGTGTGTCATTTGATAATAAATCGTTACGCGTGTAACTATTAAAAAATAAACATGAAAATGTTAAGGCAAATTATTAACATATTTAGAAAAAGTAGTATTACATTTCTACGGCTTAATGTTCGCCTTTCGTGTATACAAGGCAGTTGAAGGAAGTCCATTTTGGAGCGCTGTGATTGGATGTAAGAGTATATTGTTTTTTTTATTTATTTATGAACAACTGCAGTGTGTATACTTACAATATAAATTTTGAAACACAGGAAAATTTTCTTGAGAATTCTAGGAATCCAATATTAATTTCCAAAACAGAATAATAAGTTTTTAAATATAACATAACTGTTTTGTCCACGTTTTTATTATAAAAAGTGGTAAATTAAGAAAATATTAGTATTGTCGCCTATTTAGGAAAAAATACTACATTTTTTTTTCTCAAAATAGAATATATGGAGAGTAAACCAAATCTAATAGAATGCACTTGGAAAAATTTATTTTAAGACATTTAGAGGGACATTTAATACTCGAAATTCGCACCTGATACAGTAAAACTTGTACCGGTAATATTATGACTATCAACTGGTCGATATATCTCCCGTATGGATCCCTTCGCGAAATGAGATTAGGATATTTAAAAATTTCATTTTAACATTAAGGTTAATTCCGGATACTGATTTTAGATAGGAGAATTACAAATGTATTATCTACTAATTAAATGACATGATAACTAGTACTTATCTTATTTAAACTACAAGATGTTCAACAGTTTAACATGTATATACATATAATATTTGTACATAAATAAAAGCGAAAGCCTTGGTTTTTTTCTATTTTAGGAAATCAAATGCTAAAATGTATATGACCTATTCGTGAAATATTGATTTAACTGTGTTTTTATTTAATATATACAACAAATTAGTTTTAAAGAAAACAACTGCAACACAAATGAACAAATATTTGAAAATTATTAAAAAATACAAAACAAAATCGTTTGTTAGGTAAACCTTTTATGCCATGGCGTTGTCAGTTCTCGTCGACTTATGAGTTTTGAATGTCCCCTTGGTATAATCCGCCTCTTTTTTTAATAATGAATACGCAATTTAATTTACAACATCACTAGTATGTTAGCAAACATGTACAATGTTAATTTTACAGGAAGGTTATAGATTATCATATATCTGTCACATATCTTGATTCATATAATATAGGGTTTGTTAACCTTTCATCAAATATTTGTTCATCTTATCTTAATTCATCATCTATTGTTAATTAAGAATCCTGATACTGATCACAAAGTTTACGTATGAGCTTGACTATTAGAGAAACGATCACAACATCTTCACGCTCCACAACAAAGAAAGCATCAACACGTTTGACTCTAATGAACCAAAGCTTAAAACAAGAATAAAAATGAATGATTGGTCCTGATAAGGGACATGCCCCTTGCAGATGATAAATGAAATAAAGAAATATTGTATTAAAATAGTATCCTATAACTTTATCTTAACATGAGCATCAATCAGAACTGGGTTATATCGAACATAAATTATACAAACCTCCAATTAGAAAATCTCAATCTTACTCGTCAAAATGAGAGCTAGTCTTATAAGTGTTATTTAAAATAAACTTCTTCAAAATACCTGTATCAGGCTTATAAACTAGCAGGCTACCCATTTCATAAACATAAAACTCAGTAAAGACACATCATTGTTACATTTGGTTGATACATTCAACAATACCTACCGTTATCTGGATGATATTTTTTCGTTAAATAATCCAGAGTTTCCTAAATATACTACCGAAATTTACCCAAAAGAACTTACTTTAACTAAATTTAACATAAACAGCAGCAGTTGTCCTTTTCTAGATTTAGACATTTCAATTTCTAAAGGGAAACTCCATACTAAAATTTACGACAAAAGAGACGATTTTTCATTCCCTATTGTTAATTTTCCTTTTTTAGACGGCGATGTGCCTTTTGCTCCATCATACGGTGTTTATATATCCCAACTCGTTCGGTATGCCCGTGTGTGTAGTGATGTAGAATTTAACGAACGTAATCAATGCATCACTGGTAAATTATTAAGTCCGGGATTTCGTTACCATAAATTACTTAAAACTTTTACTAAATTCTTTCATAGATACAAAGATTTGATTAGTAAATTTGGCTGTACCTGTAGAAAACTTATTAAAAATGGTATTTCACATCCTAAATTTTACGGTAATATTGTACTTAAAGCGCGGAAATCACTATGTGATCCGTGTAAACTCATCGAACCTTTAAACAAACTTATAAGTAAGGGTTATCGTACCAATGTTGTAATTAGATCTCTGAATATAGTTTACATTGGCACTAATATCGATTTTGTCATTAGCAAATTAAAACATAACTAAATTTGTATTTTCTTTTCAAACGGGATGTATAGTGACACACACACGTTCATTTTTATCTATAAAGAAGTCACTCCTAACTATCCTACTACCTGTCGATACATTTATTTTTTGGCATTGCACAAGTCATGTCTTCTTTGACTGTTCATGACGTTAAAATACTAAATCCCTGGGATGTGTTTTAGTTGATTTTAGTCTCTGATGCATGATTTTTTATTATTACTTGTTTTGGCTTTTAACTAGCTGTCAGTAACTGCGAGTACTCTCAAATCGTACTTTCTTGTTAATTTGACCTGTTGATACTATTTGTAATGCTTTTTTGTTATTTAATGTTAACATGGATCTTGTCTATATACCAGCTTTGATTATTTGGAATTACTTCAAATTTTCACTTCTTCGTACTATGAACATAAAAATTATTTCATTTCTCCTTAAATACTGTTCTTGCACCTGTACAGGAAGTTTTATCTAGCACTAATTGTATAGTTTTATTGTTGATATTCACCCCATATGTACCAAGTGTTAGATTAGCTTTATTGATATAAAGAAATTTCTTGGTATTCCTTAACGGAAGATTTTATACACACAGAAGAAGAAGTATACTTAACAACAAAATTATTTTCATTTACCTGTGTATAATATGACGCAGGTTTTTTTCAAAAATGATTTTCTAAAAATTGTTTAAAATTTCACAGTGGTATCATACTTTAACTTTGTTTAAACCTGTTTATTTACTTTTGACCTTAATTATTTATCCCTTATAATTTTTATTTACTATGTATTTGCATTCAGGTATCACAGATCAAATTTATTCGTTCATTGTGTGTTATTTTGTATTTTTTGATTGAGTTAAGCCTTCCAATTGATATTTTATAGTATGTCTTTCTATGTTGTGATGTTATACTATTGTTTCAGAAAAGGGAGAAGGTTTGGTACCATTAAAACGTTTAATCCCGCTGCAAATGTTTGCACCTGTCCTACCGGTCAGGAATCTGATGTACAGTAGTTGTCGTCTGTTTATGTAGTTCATACGTGTTTCTCGTTTCTCGTTTTTATATAGATTAGACCGTTGGTTTTCCCGTTTGAATGGTTTTACACTAGTAATTTTTGGGGCCCTTTATAGCTTGCTGTTCGGTGTGAGCCAAGGCTCCGTGTTGAAGGCCGTACCTTGACCTATAATGGTTTACTTTTATAAATTGTTACTTGGATGGAGAGTTGTCTCATTGGCACTCATACCACATCTTCCTATATCTATTGAAAACTAGTATATATAATTCATCCTAAACCAGGTGAAAAGAGGGTAGAGATCATACGTCTATAATTTCGTGTTGCTTAGTCTTTAGTTTTCTATGTTGTGTCATCTGTACTATTATTTGTCTTTTTATTTTTGGCCATGGCGTTGTCAGTTTGTTTTCGATCTATTAGTTTGACTGTCCCTCTTGTATCTTTAGTCCCTCTTTTTTCTACGTATACCAGAGAACGCATAAATAAATAGTACGGAACGGAGATAAAGGGGTAGGATTTTTGTATCCGTATCTCCTCTTTTGCCAGGGACGGGATAAAAAAAGGTTAGCAATCTCGTAGTCATAACCCTTGCAAAGCGGGGACTGGATTAAAAGAGATTAGGAATTATGCATCTAGAACCTGTCCTAAACAAGGGACCAGGGAAAAAAGGGGAGTGGGAATCCTATAACCAGAACTCTTCCTAGACTAAGGACCAGATGAAAAGGAGAGTAATAATCTTGTAATAATGACTCCTCCTAATCTAGGATCGGATAAAAAGGGGTAGGAATGTTGTATCCATTTATTCACCTTAACCATGGTCTGAATAAAGGAGAGTAGGCATCTTATATCCCTAAGCCATCCTAAAAAGGGAACTGGATAAAAAAGGCATAGTAACCTTGTATCAATAACCCCTCCTGAATAAAATGGAGTAGGAATCTTAAACGTTATGATGTCTGTTAACAATTAACAAAATGTGCAGATATTTAGAATTCATAATTACCGAAAACAAACAACAGCACCTGTAGATATTTAGACGTCACGGTATATGTAAGCAAAAAACAATACAGACAAATATAAGACGTCATAGTCAAATCAGATCAATGACACCTGCAAATATACAGAAGACATGATATCTATAAACAACCAACCATAACTAAAGATATTTAGACGTCATAATCTACGTAAACAATCAACAACACCTGTTGATATTTAGACGTCATGATATCCGTAGACAATCAACAAAACTCTTAGATATTTAGACGACATGATATATGTAAACACTCAAGCTTTTTCTAAACATCTGACTAAACTTACTCTTATGAAATTCAACGTTGAAAGAGATGGTTGTAAATTGAGACTTTGCAATTTATTCTCAAAGAAATCTTCAGACTTAAATTTATGGAAACAATAGGGCTTTTCTGTTTCACGAAAGTGATGCTTTGATAGCCACTGTTATGGATGGTAAACTTCTCAGCTTGTTTTATATATGCCTGAAGTGTTTTACAAAACGGATATTGTTTTATTGAATTTGAAAATTTTTGAAAAATAGTTATAGCTATGGAATTTATCTCCTTCATGCATGCCTTTAAATGAATAAATGAATGAATAAATAAATAAATAAATAAATAAATAAATAAATTATACATAAATATACTAAATAAATAAATGATTTGGAAAACACGTTGAAGGTATAAAAAGTCATGAGATTTCCGAATACAATTAGGTTCTATCCGGGCACTCTGGTTCAAAACCTTGGTTCCATCCGGGTCTTTTGGTTCTGAACCTTGGTTCTATCCGGGTTCTTTGGTTCGAAACCATTTTAACTGGTTCAACATCTGGGTTGTTTGGTTATAGCAACCCAACTTATTGGTTCTATCTGGGTTCTTTTTTAATGTTCCCGTTGAACTTTGAGAAGATATCTGCAAGTATCCGAATAAAAAGATAAAGTGGATCAAAGACGCTTATCTTGTTTTATTTCATTATACATTTCAGCATCGCCGGAAAATGAAGTTGTAAGGTAAATATCTTCTCATTTTAATTATTTTGACATTGGGAACTGGACAAAAATATAGAATCGTATATATTTACATCAACTTAAATATACAGTATATCGAACATCCTTTTCTTTTTAAATCAGCCGTCCCGTCAGTTTCATTTATTTTTCATTACTCATCTCTTAATATTTCCGTCAATATTTTTCTAGAAGTTTTAAAAACACCAAATTATGACATGTCATTCAATTGGTTAACGATATGTGCATATAAACGACTTGCATATAAATTTGATTGAACATTTTTTTTCAACTTCGACTGAATTTTATTTGATTGGCTTTGTAATAATGTGTTAAGCAGTGGAAATAATGTCAGATTTGCTAGAAATACATGTGCAGTATATGAAACAAATCGTTCTGTTCAAAACAGAATGTTAAAAGACACATGAAAAAGAAAGTGATGAACAATTTGAGTTTTTAAGTTGACCTAAAACTGACAAGCTATACAATGTTACGAAAAAATATGTGTAGAATAAATTTGTAAAATTTGACACTCCTTGTGAAGGGGATGCATATAATCATGGCTTTATTTGCCCAAAATAAAGAAATCAGAATTGTGTGTGGGTTGATGCCAGTGCTGGTGGAGGTTAAACCTTGGATATCGCCAGTAGTCAGAACTTCTGTTTTGGCGCCGTAGCGGATGGGGCATAAAGACTTATCACGGTTCGTCCGTTCCGTACGTCCAAACAAATAGTTTCCGTTCTCCTAACTTTAGTTTGCCTCAACCAAATGTTATAAAACTTATACGCAATGCTTATCACTACAAAAGGCAGATCACGTTTGATATTAGGTGGTGTCACTTTTACTGTTCATGAGTTATTAGATATATAAGAAGATGTGGTATGAGTGCCAATGAGACAACACTCAGTCCAAGTCACAGTTTGTAAAGAGAAAATGGTTAAATCTGTCGTTTCCGTTCTCTAACTTCAGTTTGCCTCAACCAAAGATATGAAACTTATACACAATGCTTATAATTACAAAACGGTCTTAACTACGTAAATCCGACATCTGTATGTGGAAGTTGACTCAGCGGCCCATAGACACATTCTACATTTATTTATTTTTTACTTCCTCTGGATTCTACTTCTATAAGAAGTAACTTGCATATTTTTTTCAGGATCTCAATGCGTTTGGTAACAGGCAGTGACAATCAAGTTACATGTGACCAGTATAACAAAGTATATCACTAGATTGAGCTCTCTGTCTAAGTATACTTTTAAGGTTCTTTGCATTGAGTTCAGTTTATTGATATGCGTATACCTTCTGTGTGGATTTTTAAGATTTAAAAACAGACCATCCATATCTACATGTACATGAAATGAACTGTAAAGTAAAATGATTGCAACATTTTGCATTATCTATCACAACTGTCAACACATGGTTTTTCTGAAGCAATAAATGATTTACATTAATTGTTCACGGAGATTAAAGGATTTAATTTTCATTTGAACCTAACATTCTTGAAAATTGAGAATGGAAATGGAGAATGTGTCAAAGAGACAACAACCCGACCAAATGGCAGAAAACAGGCGAAGGCCACCAATGGGACTTCAAAACAGCAAGAAAATCCCGCATCCGGAGGCGGGCTTTAGCTGGCCCTAAACAAAATGTGTACTAGTTCAATGAAAATGGACGTCACACAAAACTCCAAAACATATAAAAGAACTAAGAATTAAAAAAATACAAGACTAGCAAAGGCCAGAGTCTCCTGACTTGGGACAGGCGCAAAAATGCGGCAGGGTTCAACATATTTTGTGAGATCTTAACCCTCCCCATATACCTCTAGTCAATGTAGAAGAAACAAACACATAGCGAAACGCACAGTAAAATTAGGTTAAAAGAAGTCCGAGTCCGATGTCAGAATAGGTAACAAAAGAAACTAAGCAAAATGACAATGATACATAAATTAACAAGGGACTACTAGCAGTTACTGACATGCCAGCTCCAGACCTCAACTAAACTGATTGAAAGATTATGTCTTCATTATATGAAAATCAAACACAATCCCTCTCGTTAGGGATTTAGTATCACACCATTATAAAAAATATGAGAACATAACCCGTATCTGTCTGACAGACAGCCAAACAAAGGAATGCATAATTAAATACACACGAAACGCTTATTGCAATACACGTATGATGTCAGGTTTTTTTAAACCATCTGTACTGCCTACTTAAGAGTACAAAGTACAAATTGTCATTCATTTATAGATAATATTTATGCAAAAGGACGAAATTCACTAGGCCTAAATGACTTCTAGAATTGCATTGCGTTATTTAATTATTTGCTAATTCTAAATTTGCGGTAATGACAACACTGCTCTATTCTTATTCCATGATATAAAAACTACATGCTCCTATTTTCATCTGCACTTTACTTCAAGATTCATCATTTATAACTTTCTTCACAAAGAGAATATGTTTAAACATAATTGATTATGCAATAAATACTACAGTCGTGGTTAAACAATGTTGGGACCCATATTTCCTTTTTTATCTCTCGTAGAAATCTATAATCATGGAACAAGCAATTAAATTTTATCAAGTTATTAAAAGTAAAATTATATTTGAAAAAAAAACCCCATCTTTTATATAATTTCAACCAAAACATGGGAGTCTAGGCTTATGTGATAAGTTTCTAGAAACACCATAGAATTTTAGTTTATGCTCCTACAATGTATAAGTTCACCTTGCCCTAAAAATAGCTTGATTAAAATTTTGAATTTATAGCCAATCCAAATTCAACACGGACTTTAAAAACGCAACATATATTATGTTTATTTTTTTCATCAAATCATGACTTATATTGATTTCATTGCTTATCATGCTTATCGTACTCCTTTTTGAATAGAAAAATCAATACCTGAATTTCCTAAAACAATCAAACATCGCAGAATTCTGACGTCGCACGAATTTCTTGACGCGAAATTAGAAGGGCAAGCATGATTTTTTTGAGATTTTTGTCTTCATTAAACATTTCTTTGAATCCATTGCCAGTAAAATGTTGTTGATTTCATTTTTGTCGAATGAGAAATGAAAATTGAAATTAAGTCATTAGAAACTTATAGACAGAATGTAGTGCACGTTCTTTTGAGAACAATTTCGCGATTTCAAATTACTGTTAAGTCCCTGTAACTTCAGAGCAGGTAGTCATAACTCCTAAGTGACCACCTATGGACCCGGTCAACTTGTAGGTTAACGTTACGTCATTTTAATCAAATTAGGCAACGTCATTTGCAAAAGAGTATAACGGCTACAGCGTCTGTTTTTTTACCAAATCGTTGGATGTCATCGGAGGCAGATTTACATCAGCAATGTTTTTCTTATGCTTAAATGCAACATAATCAACTTTAGCATTGTTTATAAAGGTTTCAGTGTACACCACATTACTGCAAAAAACAGACTGAAGTTGGTGGAAATGGGCAAAATCAGGGGTAAAACAGTATTGGTTAACCTTTCTGTCAATCATTTAGGGATTTTTAACAACTGTCTTTGCCTTTGACGGTTGACACGACTAATAATTAAGAGAAAAATAGGATTTAAGGTGGTACCTAACACTACAGGGAGATAACTCTGTAAAACCAGCTAAATGTTTTAATTACGTTGTATTGTTAAGGAAATATTAAGCTTCTCAATGATTAAAATTAATGTTTGTCAAACTGCTATATATTCAATGAAATTTTTCAAAGTGATTGGTTCAAGTTTTTTGAAATATTTATATATTTTTCAAAGGGTCAAAGTAAATATTTTGTCAAATTTTATGAAAATTAAACGAGTCAAATTAATTTTAGTCAAGGTGTTGGGTACCACCTTAAGTGCATACTACATGCTTTAAACGTTAAACGCGACTTAATCAATTAATTTGAAATGAATCAACTTTATATTCCATTTTGTATTTCATGGGTAATATGTATTTTAAAATGAAAAAAAACTAAACAAGAGTGCACACGCTGAAATGTCTCGCCTTCTTTACTAACCATTGATATTATGTTGATAGTCCTAAATATAAAGCTTTATTAAAACTATCACATAAACTTATTGGCAATCATACCACATAAACTTAGCATGATCCAAGAAAATGAGGTCAAGGTCAAATAAACCAAACGAGAAACTCATTGGCAATCATACCACATCTTCTTTTTTATATCACATAAACTTAGCATG